AAAGGGGATGTCTTATTGATGCACATCGCTCGCCCCTTTCTGCTTGTGGCTTCATTCCGACACAGACTTTGACCTTTCCGGGATTTAGGGGTTGTCAAAAGTATCGATACTCAAAAAAGTATTGATACTAAAAAGTGGGTAGTTATGAGTAGTTATCAGTAATAAGTTTGAAACCAAAGACACTAACCTGTCCAAATTCAGTTAAATTTTGGGGTCTTTGTTTTTATCCTTGTGGTATCAAAAATGGTATCGAGTATCGAATATTTTCCTGAGTATCGGTATCGAGTTGAACACTTTAGTATCATGACAACCCTCATGAACTAGAACTATAAAGATACTGTCAAACACCAAAGCAAAACAGAATCTTTGCATTTCGCTTTCCATATTGTCTCTTAAACGTGGACCAAATGTGGACTAAAAGTGGACTAAAAGTGGACTGAAAGTGGACTGAAAGTGGACCTAATGTGGACTAAAAGTGAACCAAATGTGGACTAAAAGTGGCCTAAAATTGAACCAAATGTGGACTAAATGGTATCGAGTATCTGTATCGAGTTGAACACTTTAGTATTGTAACAACCCTCATGAACGGGAACTATAAAGATACTGTCAAACACCAAAGCAAAACAGAATGTTTGCATTTCTCTTTGCTTATTGTTTCTTGCTCTATAAAAAGCGTCAGTATGCTTGGCTTTTAAAAAGTTGAGGCAGGTCCGTGTTTACGACTGTCCAGCCTTCGGTCTGAAAACATCTGGAAACAGAGCAGCTGTTGGAGCTTCTAAGGAGGAATGTTTACTCCTTCTTGTCAGATTTGGGCGGCTTATCTCGGCCGTTCGTGCTAACGTCGGCAGCTGTTGGTCGCCTTTCGGCCGGAGCCGATCCAGATGTGCAACGCCGTGCGTTACATAAGTGCACGTCTCAAACAGCCGAACGCTCCCTGCTCTCAGTCCACTTTAAACCAGCTTCGGCTCAGAGGAAACAGGGTTTGGATTAAACTCACATCTGGTTTCCTTTCTGCAAATACAGCAGAACCTCTGCTTGCAATGCCTAAACATACGAATTCTCCAACATCCAACAAGTGAAATTCGATCAAATAATCGCCACCCAAAGTAAATTTCCAACATACGTATGACGTTGAAGTCATAGAAAAATATATATGAAATATAAAACTTAAATAAAAATAAATAAGCTAAGTTTGTTCAAAGTTCATGTCGTGAAAGTTAGAGTAAGTTAAGTTATCTCCACCTCTACCTCCGTTTGCCAGTAAGTGCCAATAAAAACAATTTTTTTTTAATTGCATCTCTCTTTTATAATGACTTAAAGATCTATTAATCTATTAAGGAGTCATTGTGGGTTTTTGGGCTGTGGAACGAATTATAAGAATTACAGTATATTCTGATGGGAATATTTGAACCCACATATGATTCTGGGTGGAGTCTGCATGTTCTCCTGTGTCTGTGGGTTCTCTCCAGTCTATAGACGTCTTTTGTGTTTTTCAGCGAGAGTGGCTGGGGGACGATCTGCTTCTAGACAGAGTATGCACTAACAAATTGACCCTCTAGGGGGCAGTGCCACTTTTGATGGGAGATGAGCATAGACTGTAGGCAAATAAACAAAAGGTAACGGTTCGCTATGAGAGAACATGGTGCCGGTGAGACGCAAGTCGAGGAAGAACAGAATAAGGTAGAAACAGATTTTTTTTCCCTGATGAAAGAAGAGAGTCTGCTCTTTCTTTTGGTGTGTTCGGTGTTTACATAGTCATAGCACAAACTATTCTGTGGCTCTTGAAAAATCAGTCAAAATGCTCCAAAAACTCTGGCAGTATGGGACTCTGTTCTGAAAATGGTTGGCAGTCAATGAGTTAATAATCCAGCTCGATAACATTTCTAACGGCACTTACTTGCCACCTCCAGCGACGCGTTGCGGCTGAGCGCCTCGCCCAGGTAGTTGCGGGCCACGCACACGTACACGCCCTCGTCCGGTTTGCTCCTCCGGCCGTGCACGATGCGCAGGAAGAAGAGCGAGCCGCTGGGCAGCAGCATGCGGTGCGACCGCGGGTCGTCGCGGGCCGTCTCCACGCGCTCCCCGTCCTTGTACCACTCCACCGTCGGGGAGGGCCGCCCCTCCGCTTTGCAGTTGAGGGTGGCCGGCTCCCCTTTGGACACGATCAGGTCGGACGGGTGCTCCACGATCCGGGGGGCCGCGTCCTCCAGCCGGGGCCGGGACCCTTCAGGGGGGGCAGAGGGAACCCGGTCAGTAACATGTTAACATATTAAACCGGATTATAGGGCACTAGAATGGTCCCGATCCGATATTTGGATCGTAAATCCGATCCCACACGAGCATTAGCATTAGCATTAGCATCTGCTAACCCACAGGTCTGTGTCCTAACCATTAAGTTGTTATCAGAGTAAATCCCTGTTCAACATGAGTCTGACAACTAAGTAAGTAGATAAATAACTTGCTCTGATAGGCCGAAATCGGTATCGCAAATGCAAAAAGCTGGATCGGGACCTCCCTATACGGCGAACTTTCAATGAATGGCCTATTTTAAAAATGTTTTCATATAAAAAGCGCATAGAATAGAAGCTCCAGTAGAATCTGGGGCTGCGTTAGCATCCACCAGATGCAGCTATGTTAAAGAAAGTCGGTCAGACTTTATTAAAAGAATACATAAGATATTAAACTGGATTATAGGGCACTAGGCTGGTCCCGATCCGATATTTGCAAAAATTTTAATCCGATCCCACACGGGCATTAGCATCTGCTAACCCACAGGTCTGTGTCCTAACCATTAAGTTGTTATCAGAGTAAATCCCTGTTCAACATGAGTCTGACAACTAAGTAAGTACATAAATAACTTTAAATAACTTTAAACATGCTCTGATAGGCCGGGATCGGTATCGGAAGTGCAAAAAGCTGGATCGGAACATGCCTATAAGGCACACCTTCAATGAATAGCCTATTTTAAAAATGTTATCATATATCAAATTATTCTGTTGGTGGGGGTTTGGACACATAGACAAAACTTGAAAAAAAAATACAATTTATGCGTAAAACTATGCGTTTGTTTGGATTTTAAGCTTTGTAGATTTGATTCTGGTTTAAAAAATACACCTGTAAATATGTAAATACACCTGTAGGACCTGTAAATAACACAGAGATCAAACCAGGAAACGATGATGGTCAAAGAGGAAGATTTGGGTTCAGCTGATCGTGAATGGACGTCATGACTGGAAAATTGAAGCGGGCCAACTTAGTCCAGATCAAGAAGTCTCATAAAGACAAACAAGAGAGAAGCCGCGTTTTGAGTGACAAAACCTCAGCTCAATATCATCCAACAGAGATGGAGAGGATCGTGAATCAGCAAAACCGCCGACATTTTCACACATGGACGCAAATATATACGCTCCAGTAAACTTCCCGCTGTTTTCCACACCCTCCGAGGTGGTGAGCGGCTCTGGGATAAATAAAAAAACACATGTTTATTTTATTATCAGGGACAACGCTGCTGCGTGAGGAGAGCATCAAATGTAATTGCG